CTTTAATTATGGCTAGAATCCACTTATGAGTGAGTACATACCATATTTCTCTTTTTGGGTCTGGGTTACCTCACTCAGTAAAGCGTTTTCTATTTCCATCCATTTGCATGCAAAATTCAAGATGTCATTGTTTTTAACTGCTGAGTAAAACTCTAATATGTATATGTTCCACACCTTTTTTAACCATTCTTCTTTTGAGGGGCACCTAGGTTGTTTCCATGTTCTGGCTATTACAAATAGTGCTGCTATGAACATAGTTGAACAAATGCTTTTGTAGTATGATAGGGCATCTCTTGAGTATATTCCCAAGAGTGGAATTGCTGGGTCCTGAGGTAGGTTTACTCCCAGTTTCCTGAGAAACCCCCACACTGATTTCCAGAGTGGCTGCACAAGTTTACATTCCCACCAACAATGGATGAGTGTTCCCCTTACTCCACATCCTCTCCAGCATAGATTATCTTTGGTGTTTTTGATTTTAGCTAGTCTGACAGGTGTAAGATGGTATCTCAAAGTTGTTTTGATTTGCATTTCCCTGATCGCTAAGGAGGTAGAGCATGACCTTAAGTGCCTTTTGGCCATTTGAAGTTCATCTGTTGTGAATTCTCTGTTCAGTTCAGTACCCCATCTTTTAATTGGGTTAGTTAGAGTTTTAGTGTCTAGTTTCTTGAGTTCTTTGTGTATTTTGGAGATCAGACCTTTGTCTGATGAGGGGTTGGTGAAGATCTTCTCCCAGTTGGAAGGTAGCCTTTTTGTCTTACTGACAGTGTCCTTTGCTTTACAGAAGCTTCTCAGTTTCAGGAGGTCTGTATCACTATTTTTAAAATTCTTTCATTGGCCATACATGTCCTAATTACACCTCTATTTTGTGAATAATTCAATATCATTTATTACTTTCTACCCTGGTCTGATTCCTTTCCCTCTTCCATTTTGTTATCTTGGACTATGAATCTTCATGTTTTTCTCTTCTTTACAATTAGTCTTTTTTAAAAAAAATCTTTCTCAGTACTAGGAATCCAACTCAGGTCTTGTGTCTGCTATAAAAACTCTAGTTTTGAGCTCTATACCCAGCCTCAGTTAGACTTTGGGAAGAGGGGGAATCATGTTTCATTTATTTATTTTCTCCATTTTGATTAGTCTTTGAGAATTCTGTGGGATGTGTTTTGATCATCTTCACCACTTCTCCAGCTCCTTTCAAATCTACTCCTCCTCTTTGCCCATGCAATTTTTTATCCTCACTTTTGTCATTGTGGGATTTTGTTAAATCCATCAAGTTGGTACTGTGTGTGTCCTTGGTTGTGACCTTCCACTGATTGCCAGTAGCTCTTCATGCAGCATGGGGACTTCTTGCTCACTTTCCCTCTTCATGCTGGGGTCTGTCTGGCTTGAGCCTACATGGGTCTTGAGTTTATTTAGATGTGGATCATGTTTAGTAATTTGTTTATCTTCAGTCATTTTCGTTCTTGTTTTAGGTTAAATCTTCTCTGTAGCATATCCTTTAGTAACTTTTTCAGAAAAATTGTATTTTTTTCTTTCTTTTTTTTTTTCGAGACAGACTTTCTCTGTAGCTTTGGAGCCTGTCCTGGAACTAGCTCTCGTAGACAAGGATGGCCTCGAACTCACAGAGATCCGTCTGCCTCTACCTCCCGAGTGCTGGCATTAAAGGCGTGTGCCACCACCGCCCAACTGAATTGTAGTCTTAAAATTCCCTTTTATCTTGAAAGTTTTAATGATTTTCTGATAATGAGGGAAATCAACAAATGACAAAAACAAACAATTTTTAAGTTCCCTCTATTGAACTATTTCAGTAGCCTCAGACAGCACAGACCCAGCTTCCCACTTTGGTCACACTTGTTTGGGGTGAATTTAGTTGATGATACTTTCCTGGGCACTGCTGTTGGTAAGGCATCTATTGCAGCTGTTTGCCAGTGCTCCAAGAACAGACACTTTTGATTTCTAGGACTATACATTCTTTTTGCTTGCTTTTAACTTCATGTCATCTGAACTGTACTTTGAAAACATTGCTTAATAGGGTTTGCTTTTCCTGTGCATGCCTTTAATTTTAGTTATTCTTGACTAATGTATGTAGTATATGAGATCCAGTCTAAGTCTTTACATTAATTAATTGACTTTTGTGTTTCTGCCTCTCCTAGTTTGGAATCCTAGGAGAATCTTTGGGTTGATTATTTGATTTGGAAAATCTAATATTCTCAGAGACATAACTTTGGATTTATACTTCAGTAGTGTAGTTGAATGTTTTCTGTATTTCAGAATCATGCTTTTGCCATCTAATCTGGCAGGCAAGGTATATATAGCAACTTGCTTTTGTGCTCTGTTGAATAAAGTTTTGCCTGTTTTGTTTATAGTCAGAAGAATTCTGTTGTCTCCAGGCCTTATCTGACTGTGACACAAGAGGCACAGAATTTGTCTTTGCTTAGCAATAAAAAGCCAGTGTATTTCTCCGGGCTACTACTCTTCAGTTCTCACCCATGAACGTTTACATCCACATGCTTCTGTTTTTCTTAAAGCTAGGTGTAAAAATTGAGATAATGATCCTATTATTTTTATGGTTTTTTGAAGGTGCATATGAGAATATTTAAAGAGCAGCTCCTTATCTGGTCACCCTACTATTCCTGGAGGCTGGTGCATTAATGCCTTCACAGAGACCGTGTAGTGGAGGGTAGACAGAAAGGTCTTGTTCAGGGGTACGGGCCAGAGTTTCTCTTTAGCTAAATTATTAGAAGCACATAATACTCATTTTAGTATATTGAGCAGATCTAAAGAAATATGCTAATTCATTTTTGATGTTTCTTTATAGACGCAAGTTTCCAAAAATAATACTGAAAAGAAAAATCCCAAGGTTAGAAAAAGGAAAAGGTATGTTTTGTGAAATTAAAATATTAGAATACAATTGAGATGTATAAATTGTATTTAATTATTGTATGACATTTTCCTTAATTTTTTTTCCACTGGGTAAACCTTGTGCTTAAACTTTTTTGAAAGAATTAGCAAGTTGGTAGTTAGAAGTGCAGAGAAAGTTATGCTCTCTTTTGCCTAGTCTGGTTTTCCAACAGGGTTTCACTATGTAGCCAAGGCTACTCTCAAGCTTACAGTCCTTCTACCTCAGCCTCCCAGATGCTGGGATTGCAGCCACCATACTTGGCTGAAGAAATATTATAGTCCTATAAAAATGTTAAGCTAGAACTTTTAAAGGTTATTGCTATCTGAACAGCCATGTAAAAAGATATTTTTTAAAGATTATAAGCTGATTGGCTCATTAGCTCAGGCTTCTTGTTAACTCTTATAGCTTATATTAACCCATTATTCTCATCTATGTTAGCCACGTGACTCAGTACCTTTTACAGCGGGGCAGGTTACATCTTGCTTCTCTGTGGTCTGGGCAGGAATAGAGGAGGGAGCGTCCTGCTTCCCAGAATTCTCCTGTTCTCATTGCATCACCTCTACTTCCTGTCTGGTCTTCCCACCTATACTTCCTGCCTGGCCAATCAGCATTTATTTAAAATATGATTGACAGATTATAGACAATTCTCCCACACCACTTCCCCGTCTTTTTTTTTTGACAAAGGAAAATATTCATAGTCCATTTTTTTGAGAATGTGGGCATAGTTTTCCAGGCTACTTCCTGCTGATTGGGGGCGCTGATGACCTTTTGGGGACCTAAAGAAAATTTAGAGTTATATTCAAGTCCTGACTGGAGTATCCTGTGAGTCTCTATCATCTCAGGCAGCATCTTGAATCTGTTCTGGATGTAGGACTCAGACATCCGGGCCATCTGTTTCTACCGGAGATTTCTCGGTGGTCTTCCTTGATCAAATCTGATTTTTCTTAGCTCAGAATGAATCCACAGCCTCTCATTTCCTGTGGAAACAAAAGCAAAATCTCTTCTCCAAAGTAGCATACCTTTTGACTTCAATTTTGAAACCAAGGTATTTTCAAAATATCTATCTTGGATTACTTCAGCAGCATTTATAAACAAATATCTTTTAGCAGGTGTTGCTCCTTCCTCAGCATTCAAACAATTTAAAGAGAGCATAATAGCATACAGTGACAATATTCTCTGTGTATTTTCCATCTTTGTGCGGTTTTATTTTAACCTCTATTTCTTTTATTTTTACTTTTACTTTTTTAGACAGGTTCTCTGTATATCTTTGTCCTGGAATAACTCTGTAGACCAGGCTGTCCTTGAACTCATAGAGGTCCGTCCCTCTGCCTCCCCAGTGCTGGGATTAAAGGCGTGTGCCTTTGAAGTCACAGAGGTCAATCTACTTCTGCCTCCCGAGTGTTGGGGTTAAAGTTGTATACTACCAAACCCAACTACTTTCTAAAAAGATATTTTTTTAAGATTAAAATAGGTAAGACAAGTCGGGGTCAAATCCCCATGATAAAGTGATAAGCCAATGATAATAAGTTTCAGTGTTTCTTGTTGAGCTAGCCTTAGCATGTGATTTTCAGTATGTGACCAGGCTGTCCAGGATTCCCACTTACAGATAAAGACTGATGCTGATAGTCCTCCTCTTGCCATATCTTTGCAGAAGAAAGCCACCTTTTAAATTCTTTATTTACACATTTGCTTCATTTTATTTTATTTTGTATGTATGATGTATGTGGGTATGTCCATCTGTAGCGTATATGGAGGTCAGAGGACAAGTGTTGGGATAAGTTCTCTCCTGCCATCTGACAGAGTATTGGTAATGAACTCAGGTTGTCATCCCTGTGCAAAAGTATCTCCACCCACTAAATAACTAACTCTTTTTTATTTTTATTTTTTTAGGTTTTTCAAGACAGGGTTCCTCTGAGTAGCCCTGGCTGTCCTGGAGCACACTCTGTAGAGAGGCTGGCCTTGAACTCACAGAGATCTTCTTGCCTCTGCCTTTCGAGTGCTGGGATTACAGGCATGCACCACCACTTCCTGGCTAGATAACTAATTCTTGAAAATGGACATTGATTTCGTTGTCTCAGTCACACACCACAGAAATCACATCCCAGACACCACACACATGTACAGATATCCCCATTTAAGAGATGAAGAGATATGGCTTGCAGAATTGATTCATGGGAAATTCTAATTGGCAATAGTGCATTGGCACAGATGTTTTCTGGCACTTGTCAGGAACACAGTGTGATGGGAAAGTATGACTTTGCCATCTGACAGAACAGGTTCTGTCATGGTCAGTGATTTACCTATGGTACCAAACTTCTCATTTCTTCTTGTTGTTGCAGTTCCTCAGCCTCTTTACATAATGAGAACAGTAATTACATAACATGTTTTGGGAGATAATTGCATGAATAATGCCTGTGTGACTGCTTGTTGAATTAGGTTCCCAGTGCTCGGTAGCTATTGGGATCACAGTGGCTTTCTGCACTGAATTGTGCTGTGTGAGACAACCAAGAAAAACCACCAGTGATTGAGACCTATTGAGTCACAGAATTCAGTTACCAAGAAATACACAATTGCATGTGTGCAGCAAAATATATACATTTATGTATATGCACATGTGCTTACATGTATATGTATGTGTGTGTATGTGTGTATACGTACCCCTATGTGTGAGGTCTCTTGTTTGAAACTAAATCTGTCAAAATCTTTTTCAGGGATACTGCTTTAAGATGCTCTGTTGAAAATGTTTGTTCTGATGAAGCCTTATCAAATGAAAACATGGGTATGTGAAAACCTTGGATGGCTTTAGTTTCTTTGCCTGAATATAATTTCAAACAGTTGTTCTAAGTAGGGTTCATGGGGTTTCACAGAACTGAAGTAGCAATCATAGAGTCTATATAGGTCTGTACTAGGTCCTGTGTATATAGGTTATGGTTGTTGGCTTGGTGTTTTTGTGGGGTTCCTGACAGTGGGAATGGGGTGTCTCTGACTTTTCTGCCTGCTATTGAGACCCCTTTTTGTAACATGAGGGGCCTGCTTGTTGGCGTTTCTGTCCCACCCGGTACCCCACAACCAGCAAGCCCCAAAGAAAATCACACAGAGATCTCCATAAGATATGAAACTTATTGGTCCATTAGGTCTGGCTTCATATTAGCTCTTATAACTTATATTAACCCATTGTCCTTATCTATGCTAGCCACATGGCTCGGTACCTTTCTCAGCCGGGCAGGTTACATCTTGCTTCTTCCATCATCTGGGCAGGACTGGAAGGAATGGGTTTCCTCCTTCCTAGCCTTTTCCTTTTCTCATCGCCCTGCCTATACTTCCTGTCTTGTTGACCCAGGCACTTCTTGCCTGGCCAATCAGCATTTATTTAAAATATGATTGACAGAATACAGACAATTCTCCCGTACCACCTTTTCTCCTATTAGATTTATTAATTGCTTCTCTCAGTGTCTGTACTAATGTGGTTATATTTAGGAAGTGGTCTCCTGTGCCAGTACATTTAAGTGTACTTCACACTTTCTCTTCTATGAGGCTCAGTGTGGCTGGCTTTATGTTGAGGTCTTTGATTCATTTGGACTTGAGTTTTGTGCATGGTGATAGATGCAGATCTATTTTCATTCTTCTATATGTTGAAATCCAGTTATGTCAGCAACATTTGTAAAATATGCTTTCTTTTTTTCCATTTTATATTTTTTGTTTCATTGTCAAAAATCAGGTGTTCAAAGGTGTGTGGATTAATATCTGGATCTTTGATTTGGTTCTAATGTTCCTAAGTCTGTTTTTATGCCAATATAGTCTGTTTTCAGCTCTATAATAGAGTTTGAAGTCGGGGATTGTGATGCTTCCAGAAATTCCTTTGTTGTGCAGGATTGTTTATTAACTAACTCTTACATCTTAAATTAACCCATTTCTATTTATCTGTGTATCACCATGAGGCTACTACATGGCGTTACATTGACTCTGCCTACTCTCTTTCTCTCTCTAAATCTCTTCCAGCCTGGCTATCTTCTGCCCTAATATAGGCCAAAGCAGCTTTATTCATTAACCAGTAAAAGCAATACATATACAGAAGGACATCCCACATCAGGGCTGAAGAAGGATGCTTAAAAGAAGAAATCCCACACTAACTCAGAATTGAGAAATAGGTGGTTATTTATTTAGGGATAAATTCATAAATCAGAATCCTCTGCTGGAATAGAGATCGGAAACTGAAATCCACAACCGGAGCAGAGAGGCGGAAAAGAGAGGGGACACAGGCTCTGCATTAGCATAAATAGTGTAAGAGGCCATGCCCCAGTAGGTGAGTAACCACTAGCTCTAAGACTTCCTACAGCACCTCCCCCCTTTTGTTTAAATAAGAGAGCCTAATATAAAATTATACACAATAAGAACAAATATATTCAGTAATTATCCTATCCTATTTTAAGTCTTGTGTAATAAATAACTTGGCCAAGTCATAAGAGGAAAGTAACTACAACTATCTAGTCTTCAACCCCATCAAAGATCTGAGACAGGAAATAATATTACTACAGTAATCAGGAAGTGCAATCAAGCAACTTCCAAAATGTGCAACAAATGACAGAGACAATTGACTACCTGGGCAGTCACCCAAAGTGTTATTTGCAAAGTTGAAGCAACCAACTTTGACTAAGGCCTAGAATAACTGACAGACCATTTTCAAAGGCAGGAAAAATTTTTCAAAACTGTTTTACCCTTTCTTGGCAAGATTTGACAGTCCTGCTTATCTATTTCCAGATACTATTTATCTTGTCAGTGGTTGAGGCATGGGCATGTCTTTGCCCAAAGGCCAGTTTTGCCGAGAAGAAAACAAGCTCCCAGTGGAGTGTCTGCAGTGCTCAACATCCTCTCAGGAATAGATTGGTGCTGCCAGGAGCAATCATGTCTCACTTCAAAAGAACCCTATGTTATTTAAATGCCATATTCTATAACTCTTTGAAGTAGTTGAAGATTACCTATCTATGCAGAATATAATCTCTATGTATCTAAAGAACCTTATTAGTCTAACTATAAATATTACAAATATAGATGACTATTGATCCATAATTCTTAATATCTATATAACTTAAAGACTAAGACTCCATATTAGAATATTATACAATAAACATTTGTACACCAAATGAGGACAGTGACCTCAAAATGTAAACAATGTATAAGTATCTTGGTCAGAGGTAGAAATGTACATTGCAATATGATAAATATTTATCAATATATAAAATGTTTTAAGCAGAGGTAGAAGCATGCGTGCATACAATGTTCAATATAATTTAACTTTGTATCAATATATAAGAATCTATACCAATGTAATTGCCTATAAATAATTGTAAAAGGAGCGGTAGGCTGTGTCCCGCCACCTGGCTCCCAGCTAGCTTTATCCAAAATAATTACACGGAAACTGTATTCTTTTAAACACTGCTTGGCCCATTAGTTTCAGCCTCTTATTGGCTAACTCTCACATCTTGATTAACCTATTTCTAATGATCTGTGTAGCACCATGAGGTGTTGGCTTACCAGGAGGATTCTAACCTGTGGCTGTCTCGGAGAGGAGAGTCATGGCATCTGCCTGCCTCTGTTTTCTTTCTCCCACAATTCTGTTCTGTCTACTCCACCCACCTAAAGGCTGGCCTATCAAAAAGGCCAAGGCAGTCTTTTTATTAACCAATGAAAGTAACAATAGACAGATGACCCTCCTTCATCAAATAATAACTCACAAGTATTCACTCTATTACTCACTATTATTATTAGTGTGAGTAAGCTCATACTAATCTATTATCCCATCCAATTTTCCCCTTTTTTCTTTTTTCAGAGAGATCCATGAGCCTATAAAATTTCCCTCTCCACCCCTCTTACCCTGAGGACAAACTTTGTTGGGAGAGGGCATGTCATCTAGAATTACTTCCAGTTGTCATGGGGGTGATGTTCTTTCTATGGGATCCTGTGAAAGGAAAATGATGATTAAGTTCCAAGATTACTCTCTGGTATAATTTCAAATAATCTCTAAGTAATTTGGTAGGGTTTTTCTGTGGTTCCTATTTGGAGGTCTGGCCAGAATGTTGTAAAAAAAAAAGTGCACCATTTCAGCTAACCAAGTTGGAGCCTTCTTAAGCAGCTGGTACTCAAAGCAGGTCTTGTAGTAGCGCAATCAGCATCATGACGTCATATCAACCAGGTGGAGTTGTTGTTGTGGGGCCCCATCTTCTTCCTGGAAACTTTAAAGATTATTGCAGAGAAATTGTTCATTGTGGAAAACTTAAACATTATTTATATAGACATATACTTGCATATATATATATATATTCAATGAAAGGTACAGTAGAGATAAAAATAGTTATGAAGAAAAGTAAAATTTTTTCTAAATTCTTTTTTCTTTCTATCCCATATCATATAATTCTTGACATGAGACAGAAATTCTGAATTTTTCTTTTAACAACATGCTTGGATTTAGAGAAGGACAGAGACATTGTCCAACTCCAAAACCAGCTCTATATGTTAATAAATACACACACACACACATATAAATGTGTATGTTTTATCATTTGTATTTACAAATAATACATCATTTTCTTGATGATCCTTATTGGGTAGCAATTTTTCCATCTGTCACATCCAAACATCCAGGGTCTCTTGAAGATGAGTATTTTTCTGCAAAAACAAGAACAGAACCCTGCCCCAACCCTTTTGAGGTTTCTTTACCATCTGTATGGATGTCACCATTGTGGATGAGCTGTCATTTCTCTTTTTCAAGAGGTTTCTCCTTTTCAAATTGAATCTTTATTAATTTTTATGGTATCCATAGTCTTTCTTCTCCTGTGGAAATAAGAGCAAAACCCCTTTCCCAGCACAGCACATCTCCTGGCTTCCATTGTAAGGTCAGCACATCCTTGAAATAAACTGGTTGATTTAATTCAGAAGACTTTTCTATTATCCATTGTCTCTCTGCTGTTGTTGTCCCTTTCTCAATAGTGTTAAGAAACTTCTAGGTTAATAAGGCATTATGTAATCTATTTCTGGGGCCATTTTCCACCCCTTTTTGTTTGTTTAACATATCCTTTATAGTTTGATTTGATCTTTCTATAACTGCTTGACCTGTAGGATTATGTGGTATACCTGTAATATGCTTAATATTATAATAAGCAAAAAACTGTTTCATTTTTCTAGAGACATATGCTGGACCATTTTCTGTCTTTATTTGTTCAGGTATACCCATGATGGCCATAACTTCTAATAAATGTGTAAATGTGTGATTACTGAATCAGCCTTTTCTGAGCTTGAAGCAGTTGCCCACTCAGAACCTGAATAAGTGTCAATGATGTGGTGTACATATTTCAATTTTCCAAATTCTGCAAAGTGGAACACATCCATCTGCCAGATTTCATTCCTTTGACTGCCCTTTGGGTTAGTCCCTGGAGGTAGTAGTGTTTGGCTATAGAGAGAACAAGTAGGGCATCTCTTATTAATCTCCTTAGCTTGTTGCCATGTAATAGAAAACTCTTTCTTTAAACCTTTGCTATTGACATGTTTTTTTTATGAAATTCTGAGACCTGAAATATACTTCCAATTAATAATTGATCAATTTCTGCATTACCTTGTGCTAGAGGGCCTGGCAGACCAGTATGGTACCAGATGTATATTATGTATATAGGACAAGCCTATTCCTGATTATGTCTTGCACCTGTATAAATAATGAAGTCAATTCTGTATCATCTGGTATAAATTCAGTGGTTTCAATATGCAAGATAACTCTTTCTGCATATTGTG